CTGTCACACGATATGAGACGATAGAAGACAGTAGTAACTGCAGATCATTCTTTACCTGGAGGTTTTCCCTACGCTCTCCGTAAAGATGATGCGCAGAACCGTCACCATTTGTGCTTGGTCTGGGAGAGCTGGTAATGTCTTTCACACCAACACTGATATCTATCTGTAACTCCGCGGTCACGTCAGCGTCGTTGGGGTGGAAAATGGGTCCTGCCGATCCGACAGGAACAGTCCTCTTCTCGATTCGTCAAGACATCGTATACCGACGACGACGAAGTTCCATAAATTCGTCATCACTGAATTTTATGGTTGCCATTGCCGTCACTAATGACTGACGACGTCGAATATGAAGTAGCAAATTGGAATTTCGACAGGGGTATTGGATGGAGGTCACAGGTAAGGCAGGACAGTTTGAAGTGTCATGTTCATTAACTTGGGACACTGATCCGGAAGCATATTGCACCGTCAAGACGGCGGTGACCGGGATGACTACCTGATACATCTTGATTCTCGAAAACAACGTCGAATGGCCGCCTATGTGGTTACATCTAACGAAATGTCCTCTTCGCGTTTGCGACGGAGCATTTCAGAATGAATACGAGTGAACCTAGCCTCATGTCTAAGATGCACTGCTTTTTCTGTGTAACATCATTTAAGTTTGCATGATATTCGTACCTTGAAGTAAGTACTGTCACAGTATTACACACCTTGGTGATTGCTAGGGAAGATCCCTGAGATAACTCAACTACGTATAAACGCTGAACAAAAGGGAGGATGTGTGAGAATGTGACTGCACGCTCGCCACAATGCTTTGTGCAAAGTATCGGTGGTTGGATGCTAGGACCTGGCGGAGTTCAAAAATTAACAGGAGCCTTAATTTGTCTTTTCTTCCTACTATATCAGGTTTAAATTTGAGTACTGCGACTCGCCGAGCTTCAGAACTCAAATTTCAAACTTTGTTGCTTAGAAGCGAGCGAGCCCTTACAAGATATCATGGTGGTCTCGTGTGTCAGACGACCATTAATAGTGTTTAATATTTCTTTATCTTATCTCGTACTCACTCACGCATTATCAGATTTTTTATCGAGTCCGTCCGACATCGGGAACTCTCAGGTATTCTTGTTTAATCCTTGTTAGCCTTTGTGGTCATACAAGACTACAATGTCAGACACCACCATCTCAGCATTTGCCCGTAGAATGTGATAATTGCAACAAGAATCATTGGGATATCTGCCAACTGACTTGACGTCTGGTGGGAGTATTTTTAAACATCCGCTTCAAACTTACACCATCGGTTCCTTGCTTTCGATTTTCCTCAGAACTGTTAGCATCACTTGCGAGTTCCTGTGCTAAAAACACCATACCGCTCACCTTTACAAGGCCGGGCTCGGATGAAGTGCCTGGACTACTCGTGCGTGAATAGATCATTGCCGTCCCTGCCATCCTTGACATCAAGTTCGAGAACGAGCAGTTCAGCTCTTGGTCTCTTTACTTCGACTCATATTGAAGTCATTTTATCTCAGCGACTCTTGAGGCCACTGCCGCGATACTTGTGACACGTCATGTAATGTTCAATTTGGAAAGTCATCACCGGACTTATCAGAAGCCTACACTTGTGTTTGCAGGGCCACACACGTCAACGGCATCTATGCTGTCCTGCGTTGAATATTTCTCTTAATGGAAATGGGACCCTCCGAAAAAACGGCATTCATGTCAGTCGCCGCACTGTCTCAATCCACAGTAGCAAACCTCCGTCGGCATCGCAGTATTCCCAGAGAACAATATGGGGTCCTCGTTTGACGCTATCACTCGAGCATTTGACTCGCTTCCCTCACCCACAAATTGCTTCCACACTTGTTCCAGTCAGGAACCTTCCTCATTCCGAAGACATAGCATTTTTGTTTAGCCGCATTCATATGCTTCGCTACAGATTCATTTGACCGAGAGGGCACCTCTTCTCGAGTTTAAAAGTATCGAAGTTACCTAGCCGAGGATCTCGACGTGTGCTTCGTACTATCTGGTGAGAGAACAAATAATACATGTGTATGTGCTTCACCATGTCAATGCTTTCTAACTATTAGAACGAACTAGCCGTCTACCCGAGCCACTCAGTCGGACTTACATACGAGAACATGATGTCTGATTTGAACGGCTGGATAGCGCGCATGCAGGCACCCAGCATGGGTTTTTGTTACGTCGCGGTCGCCCACAAAAGCCGGTCGAATGAAAGAAAATGTCGTATCGGGGTTTTTCAGTTCCTTGCATCCACGTTACAATTCGTCTGAGGAAAGAAGCCGTCGCGAGTATTCATCGCACGGGCAGCTTTTGTCGCGAAGCTTGTTTTTCGAGTTCACACTCCACACAATTCACACCCTCCCCCTCGTTTTTATTACCACACGGAAGGCATGATCGACGGTACTCGACTCGAATGCTATAGCCTTCCGTAAGGTGAGGTTGCTATGGACTACGATATGGCAAGAGGCAGTCTACTAGCGATGAGTCTCGCGATATTTGATGTTGCACAGACGTGCCTTCCGAATTCACTCTCGGTCACCCGTTGGGACAATGGGACAACTATATCATTACTACAGGCGAAGATATCCCAGAAGACGAAGACGTGATTGTCTGTGTTGTTCTCTGATATTAGCCACAGGTGCCTTATTGACTTCCGACGGATTTGTTCCCCCCATCTTTACTGTGAAAACTGAACTGGACTGTCGAGTTCTCAGTAAAAGGGACTATTTTGAGTTCTCTTACGAAACAACACAATCTTGACAGTGAGACTTTGGGTTTAATCATCGGACTCAAGAGCTTCTAGTGGGCAATCATAATGGTACGTCTTTTTCACAGGAGAGCGCGTGCAATTCAAGTCATTGTCAATTTTGTAGGGGAAGCGAGGGTGGTCCCCCGTTCCTAGAGAGCGACATATTATGCAATATTGGAGATCTACTTGATACAGGATATAATTATATGACCTGTTCTGGGCTTCAACCTCCGGAGGACCTGAAATCCTCGACAATGATTTGTGGGAGATAACCCGATGACTTGACAGGGGGTGTACTACTCACGGGCACGGCACAGCACAGCATTGTACCCGTATGTTACCTTGTGGCGCAGGGAATCTGATAAGACTTGTAAGACATTGTAGTAGAGATTGATTCCAGATGCGATAAAACACTGCATGCAACCAACACCTTGACAGTTCGTGGTACTAGACTCTTTCTGTCAACTTTCTGTCAAGCGATTATCTGTCGGCTGGCTTCATCCTCACCCCCCGATAAGTTCGGGGAAAGCTCTAACTATCTCGCGATAACATTGAAGCATAGAATGATGCCTCCAAATGCAACCTTGGAATGTTGGGTGCGCAGTAATTGATCCCCGTCTTTCAAGATCTGATTATTCCGATATTTTTAAGATATAACGAACATAACATTATACCTAATGTTCCCGAACAATCCATTGTCCATCTGCCCACACGATGCAATGTGCATGAGACGTACTCCTTTCTTATGCATATAGTATCATCGCATCCGAGTCGGCATCCTGATAATTGCGATAGTCCGGCGAGCCCGGCCGACTACGTACCCTACTTCCGGCTCGTGGGAATCCTGTGCCCCACCTCCAGGACATGTCGGGTGCAGTTTGAGTTCAGGCGAATTTGCAGTACCCCCTTTTTCCGTTCTATTGACCGTTTCCTGTGATCATTCATGGGTAGTTCAACCGAATATTTCTCAGAATTAACTATTGAATGATCTTACATATATTTTTTAGCTTCGGAAGAACAAATCGTTTTAGATGACGCGCACCTCCCTGGCGAGGACGCGAAAAAGGCCTTTGATGAAGTAGCCGAAACGATCAAAGAGTCGATCAGGAAGTCACGGCGCTCTTGGAAAATGCACCATGAGTCCTCAATGTGGGCTAGAGCAGCGGGGTTGAGCGATGATGAGCTCACGAGCTTCTCTCGAGATGATCTCGTACAAATTCGAAATGGACAGGCGAGCTACGGACACGTTATCTTTGGGAAGCTGAGGCTTCCTGCTGTTAATGATAAGTTGGGCGAGGGATATATTCACGTCAGGTGCGGTTCCATTCGAATTTCTACTGCGAGGTCTTGGGGTTTGCGTTGTATTGACTCATGATTTCCGTTGTGGCAGGATCCACCATGAGGTGCGTATTTCATTCCGTCCGCTTGATTCATTACTTTAATGTTAATCGTCAGGGAGTTTCCGGATGGAAACTACATGCCATCCACCACCTCACAGCATCCTTTGACGAAGATGGCCATCCTCATTCGTGGCGTGTCATCCATCCTGACGACTATCCCTTGGAGTTCTTTGAGTATCATTCCGAGCTTCACGAAGCACCACAACGTTCCTCCCATCGGTGACTTTCGGAATTATCAGGGAAAGAAAGAAGTGTGTGGTGATTATTTTGTACGATACATATGTCGTTGTGACGTCCGCGGAGCGCGTTTTGTACATCTCCCTGCAACAGTTACGTGTGATTGATTTGATTGCTCGTCGCCCTCAGAGGGCGTTCATCCGCAAGTAGGTTGGCCCTGCTGTCTTATCGCCGAATAGGTAAAGTAGCTACTATAGATGGCGTGTCACATTAATATCTGCCTGGTACTATGATGGATGAAGCAAGATGACGAGACACGTCTAACCTAAGGTTAATGGCTCCAGAAGGCTCAGTCTAATGAAAAAAAATTGCACTGGTTCCGCAGCGTCTAGCGCCTGTTGATGCTCAAAGCAAGTCTATAGGGTATGGTTATATACTAGTACACAAGAAGACAGAGGACCGGGATTGTTCATAGTTAAGCAGATGCCGCTGCACTCCCAAACCAACAAGACATAAGCACATAATCGGGCACGCAACAAAGAGACTATATGTACAAAAGTAATATGAACAAGACAGAAAGAAAGAGACATATAGGCATAAGAAGCATTGACCAAACTGGTTAGCACAGCAAACACGTGGGCGTCCATGGGCGATAGCAGTCAAAAAGCATATACTGAAGGCCAGGATTCGTTGTGTGATGCCGACAGACCCGCTGCAAAATACGGCTGATCCCTATGATGACTCTGATACACATCGTTCGACATTGAGTACATGAACGGAATCGGTACCGGCTGCAACATCTTATCGTTCTGCGCGCTCGAAAAAGCGGCGAACTGACAGGATGGCGGCGGCGGCGTCGACATGTCCATAAAACTTGACATCTGAATGGTGCGATCCCCAAGTGATGACTCTGTGGGCGTAGGCGAGTAGCTGAGACCAGGCGTCGGTGGACTGATCTCGGAGTTGTCCGGACTGCTATCCATTCCCAGGCTCGATTGTGTTGGCATCCATCGTGAAGTCTCAACAGCAGACGAAATCGTCGCCGAACATGAGTCCTCGCGATAGAAGGTGTGTGCGGGTAACGTGGCGTGCCGCCTGAGACCCACACGAGACCTTGCCACCAGAGGTGAGCCTACTGATATCGGCGAAGTAACTGGGCTAGTCTCCATAACAGAGTGCGTTCTCGGACTGCTCCTGAGCAAAATATTACTTTCGCTCTTGCACTTTGTGAGGGCGCGTCCGGTAGCAACCGGCGCTGGAGGCAACTTGCCGACCCAGAGGCGCCACTCAAGCGCCTCGCCCAGAGCACGTTCACAACGGCCAATCTCCCGTGGCGGAAGGCCCGAAAGTTTAGCCCATGCACGATTCGAGTAACAGCGATCTTGCATGAATTTCGACGCAAGAATGAGTGACGCGAGGAAAGTGCGACGAGGACACAAAAGCGGCGAGGGAAGTGGAGGGAGCGGCGTTAAACAGCCACTACTCTGCTTAGGCTTGTGCATAGACACCTCGTCTGCGTCGAGTGCCGGCTCTGCGAATACAGAATCGGCCTCAAGTGTAATAGGATTGACACGGATAGTATCCAGCAAGCCATTGCCTGCCGACGTATCCGACGAAGAGGTAGGACCATCAAGATCAGCGCAAAATGCGCTGACCTCGCCTTGGGAAATACGTTCAACCGATTCCCTTTCGCAAGTGGACCCAGGGCAACCCTTCTCCTGCGAAACCAGCTCTGGGACCTTGGCGCGAATAGCTTCCAGGTAACAAAGCGCTGTCTGCAGAACGCTGCCTGACGTGCGAGAACGACGAAGAACCTCGTGAACAAATCCTTTCATGGGCGCAACATCGCAACGCGGGGCCTGATCGCTCGAATCGGGCGTCAGGGGTATCTTGGGCGAATGAAGGGAGTACGAATCGGGAATGCATGGGACGGGCGTGGGAGATGGCTGTGTCGTTGGAGATATGGGAGAGGGGAGCTGAGTATTACGCCCGTGGAGTGGAATACTTGGAAGGGATGCAATAATGGAGTTGGTAGAAGCAGTGGCACAGTTGGACGAGACGATGTTAAGAAGACAAAAGGGATATCCTGAGGGTTCCATATGTCGCATATAGATCCTACAGCTTGATCTAACGGCGGATACAGATCCCGAATTTGAGATTGGAGGCCAAAAATGGCTAGTGAAGTTTGAACTTACCGACTAAACCAGTTACATATTTCGATTTCTGGGAGTCGCGGAGCTGACATTCTCGGGGATGAAACTGAGGATTTCGCTGCCGGTCTGGTTCATAGACTGATGCTGATAGAGGAGAAGGTGAAATGGATGATACAGATGAGACGGGAGTAATGAGATATGAAGGAGAGGGGCGTGAGGAAACTGAGGAAAGGGTGGCATAATAGGGTTGCCAGCGAACCCGAGTGTGCGAATGTGACGTTGTTGGTGGCCCCCGATGGGCCAACGAGTGAGCAGCGGCGCGAACCATAGAAATTCGCAGATTGAAAAAAATACTGAGCGGTGAGACGAGAGAGTAAATATTAAGAAGACGAGATACTGACGAGCTTGAGCGGATTATCTAGAAAGACTTGACGACAGCATTAATGGAGTTTACTTTGGTTACTTTGAGGCTGAATGTAGTGGACTTGTAGGCTTGTGTGGAGACGGGTTTTGAGATCGAGCTGGACAAACGGGGAATTACTGGGGAGCACATTTTGACTCCTTTGAGGACTGTCCAAAGTCTGAGACTTTAGACTATCCTAATAGTTATATAGCCTTGTCGAAAAGGCTATAGTAACAGAGAATGAGCTGAACAGAAGAGGATATGGAAGGTAGAGAAAGGGATTGTAAGACAGTAGCAGTACCTGGCAGTACTCAGCGGGACTCAGAGAGGGATGAGCTGGGCGTTATTATAACTGAACGGAGTCACTGGGTCATTTAGGACCCTGATCACCCACAATCCGGGGTCCTTAGTCATCCCGACTGTCTCCATTCCGAGTCCACGACTCACTCTGACTCACAGCCTCCAAGGTCTCAAAGCTACGTACACCGAATACCGGACAACAATGCTGTTGTTCATTGCAATGTTATTCACAAGTATCCGCTAAAATTTTATTGAAAACACTCCAGTACAGCTTGCTCCAGTGCTCTGTGTCCTAGAAGATCATCGAGTCCCGAACGTGGATCTCTCACACCATGGCCACCTTGCAGACCTGTGTGCGCCACCTCCCATTAATGATTGCCTTCTTTCCCTGGTACTTTTCACACGGTCCTCTTTATGGTCTCACTTTCCCGCCCTTCCTCATCGTCGGGATTGCGCCATCCTCAATGGAGTCACATCGGGGCGGTGGCAGTGTCCCCCTTCCAATACTTACTGCGCACAGGGAGTACTGCCCGTAGCTACTAGCTCCTTAAGTGCAAGTGAAATTACAATAATTCATACACTGCACTGTCAAATTTATTGTTCTTCCTCAATCCTGCAAACAAATGCCTTGTCCTCCCACTCCGCCCGTTTTGTTATGCCACGTCAAAGAATTCACACTCAACTGATGCATCACAGGGTTATTCTTGATAAGATGAAACGTCTGTTCGTCTTCTTATTATTTTATCGGATCTCGAGCAACGCACCTACCTCCTATACTCCCCTATATGTCTACTCTTGTCCATTCTTGATTCTGATCTTAACTTGAAGGAGAAATCATTTCCATTGACTCTCCTTGACTCTGAGACCGCGAAATTACAACGCCTGCAGCCTGTGACGTCCGATCGGGGAACTCTTCCGAGGAGCCCGTCAGTCCCATACAGCCAGCCCGTGTTCCTCGAAATTGCCAAATCACCCTTCCGTGAATACCCATTTACCGTCTGGAGGTCTAAGTAGATCTCGACGTAATCCTTGATTCGTCGGCCATGTGTTTTCTGACTCAAGCAACTTATCATTAACATTTAAATTGGTTCATCCATCACCAGTACTAGTCACAGTAGTGTTTTTACACGTGGAGGGGGCGTGCTTATAATCAGTGCATTATTTTCCGGTTATATCGTAGTCAACGTCTTGTCCCGTGACTATCGCAGTCCTGTGGTGGTGGGGCTTCAAGTACGCATGGTCTTTGTATGTATACGTGATATCGATAGGACCTTCTATAGGTAGACAATTCCTATCGTTACGCGTCCCTTGCAGTTGATCAAACAGGTACTACATATTCTAATATGTAGAACGTTACTTACCTCAGAGGCGAGTTGACACCTCACGACATCATATTCACATCTCACCGCTCTCCACCGACGGAGAGCGCAGTCTCCCATCTTCGCGAAAGTGCGTCTATAACGGCCGGCGAGAACGTCGGACCAACGGCGTGTCCCCTCACTTCGGGCCACTCACAATTTCAGATGTGTGGCAGATCCTTTGGGCTGCATAGAATTGCCCTACATCGAATACACTACTGGACATAGATCGGAACCGACTTTTTTACCTCCTTGAACTGGATGATCCGGATTTTGAGGACATTTAGAGCTTGTACGGATCTAAACGAGTCAATCATTTACCCAACGAATTCGAACCTGGAAAAAATTATGTCTTCAGAGATCCGCCGAGGGCCTGGTTGTTAAGAGCAAGACTTGACGTTGACCTACGCCTGTCAAATTGTAATACGTATGTAGTATACGTACGAGAAACATCTCTGAAGGTCAGATGACTTTCTGGCGCGGGATCTTGAATTTCAATCGTTAGCGCTCAGTAGCTGTTATTGTTTAGCAAAGGTGTCGTCACTTGCTTTGGTTGGCGTCTACTCCACCTGCTCTTGGCGCTGACCATTTTGATACTCCTCAGCTATGGTATTGCGTTTGAATTTTCGTCAGACCTCTGCCCCCGAAGTTAAAAGTTGCTTGGAATAGCAGCCGCTGATGTAACATACCTAAACAACTTGTCAGGATCTTTCCGAGGCTCCGCCAGCGCGTGAAACCTGATGCAAGACATCTGTAGCATTTGCACCACCTGTGTCAAAAGCGGGTAAAAATGTGGTACACTCGAAGATTGTGACTCATCAAACACCAGAAAATAAACCAATTCGCCGAGGAGCCGTTCAGGCTCAGCAGGACTGCGGAACAACTTGAATTTACCCGTCAACTAAAGCTAAAGGTAGTCTAATGAATCACCTGTGTGGTACCCAGTGCCGCATGAGACCGCATGGAAGACAGTAGGAATGCCCCTGTTTCAAACCAGAAACTCTCAGAGTCATGATCGAGCAAGAGCACGGTCGGATGTCGGACATGCATTACCGATTCAAAGCTGTGAAATCTCTCACGCGTAAGGCTAGTAGAAGATCGCCGAAGGACGCAGAATCGGCAGAAGACTGTTTGTGTGGCATGCTGATAGGAAATAGGGCGTATGCGCCCGATGCAACCAATCACTAGGAACTACTAGTACCTGGGTCCCAAGACGAGTCAGATTGATTCAGACTCGGATCCGTATGCGAGGAATAAATAGACTGGCACTGATGGTTGCACGGAAAGATACGCAATGCATACTAGTCACTGTGGCAGCTCACCATATGTAGGCATCCAAACAAATATCTATCAGGAACTCAGACGGTCGAATTTGTTGGCAAGCAGGGACAGGTGAGAACGCGGCGCGCGCACTGGTGTATTGCCCCAAAACCACTCGAGTCGATACTATGCCGACGACCGTATCTAAGAAGCACTCAGACCACTTGAGAGAGGGATTGGTCGTGATGTGCATGATAAGTAGCATCGTGACGACTAGTGAAATCCCTTTTGTCAACGTAACGAAAGTCGGGGCCACATGTCAGCTGGGCTGTATTGGATACCCGCTACGCAGCCACTCTTACCTGACAGTACCTGACTTACTGATTCATATCACGACAAATGCTCCTCTTGCAAAACCAACAAAGTCAAGGCTGTCTACATAGTCGCTAATGATTGTCCATAGCGGCACCGTATTCTGGCTCCACAGTTTCGACTTGATTTGCATGGGCCTCTCGCATTTGTTGCAGCATGACATGACGGATGGTCTAATTTGCAACTAGGCGGAGCGCTTTGTTATCATCTTGAGACTGGTACCGACCTGTTTCAGGCTTCAAGTGAGTTCTTGTTGGAACCGGAAGAACTCATGTCGGGCTGACACGTGTAGTAGGGTGGATGCAGAGCCGTCAATTTTCACTCAAGAACGACCACGATGATGACGGCCGCCACCAAGCAACACTGTAGACCTACGCCAGAAGCACGCCAATATTTCACTTGTCGCGTTGTATACAATAATACTATATGACCCAATGGTCCCAACGACTCAGTTACATATTTTACCCCGAAGTTGGTTCAATTGTTCTTTCTCTGCACTCATCTTCGACTCTGCCTATCGTCCAACTAGTCCACTCGTTTGTTATTATCTTCTTGCTGCGATGAAGCTCAAGGTGTCGCTTCTTGCTGTACTCACCACTGTCGCCGTTGCTGTCCAAGCTGGACACAGCTTTGAAAAACTTTCTGCGCAGCGGGCTGCGCTTGGTAGACATGCCTCCCTTTCCGCTCGAAACAAGGGTGGCGATAGCACCCCCAAGCTGCGGAGGACTTGCGGATCGGGACTGGTCAGTCGTGTTTCAAATTCGAATGCTTGCTGCAACGCAGCTTATTGTGAATTCTATGCTCCTGTGTAATTGCAAACTGGTGTAGGTCAGCTCAGGAACTCCTATACCATTAGCTCCTGCATTGTTTGCAAATTCACCCTTAGCTTCAGCTTCTGAATCAACTATAGTATTAACCACAACATCAACCCTGACTGTGCCTGCAGCATCGTCACCAGATTCAGTTTCGACTACAGCATCAACTACAGCATCAACCACGGCTCTGCCTTCCACATCGTCACCAACACCAACACCTACAACTTCACCAGCTCCTCAGCCCCCGACATCGGACAATGGACCTAGCAACAACTCTGGAGGTGGATCAATTGATGGACTCGTCAACGTCATCTCCTCCGAAGGTTGTGGATCTAGCGGTGCAACCAGTGCGACTTTCCCGTATTGCAAGCGAAGGGAGTATACTTGCTGATGCACAATCTTTACCAGAGGAAGTCACTGCATTAAGCGGTCCCAATGGGAATATCGATTTCCTGGACTGCGGCATCAACGGGAGCGGATGGAACCCACCCTTGATCAAAATCGAGGGAATCGTCACTGTTGACCTGTCAGCAGTCAGCGTACCAAAATGATTCGGCATTCGTAAACTGCCAGGACTTTGTCTCAACATTTGAGAAATATGGTAGCCAGTATGGAAGTCGGTGTCATTCTCCCAGTCTTACTACGTTTCCATCTGACGTTGGGTGACAGTCCCTGCTATTCTCCTCGCGTCTTTTGCCATGCAGGAGAGTTCATGTAACTCGAGCATCGTTGGTGGAGCTGGTGAGCAAGATTTGATGCAGCTCACCAGCGACAAATGCGTTGGTGCTCCTAATGGTGATTGCCTGGACGTTGTAAGCCATGTCGTTATCGTGTCAGACATATCATCTTGATCATATCCATATTCCTCCCCAGGATTTCAATATCGGTGCTGGCGCCAAATTCTTCTCGCAGCTGCTCGATGAAAATGATGGTGACCTCCTCTCCTCCATTGGTCATTACAATGGCTGGTTCCAGGGAATGACTTATGTATTTATTTGTTGCCTACTTCAGAAATTCCAGTGCTGACGCTACGTGTACAGGCGGATGCAACCGCTGCTGCCCATGGCGCTGACTGCAGGGAGCAGAACAACCTCGACTAGTAAGTCTATAAATCTCGGGGTTGTGCAATTCAATCTTACATGTCAAAATAGCTTGCACCAGTTCTTGAATGGTTGGTGCCAGAACATCAATGCCTATCAGCACGACCCTCCTCTTGGCAAATACTTTAACTTGAATGTCTGCTTCTAAGCAACGTTCCATCGCGACTATTTTTGTTTTCGCTGATACACTATCATGGGCACATGTATTAATATCAAGCAAGAGTTTAGAATGTTCTTATACCACTTATTACCACATACACTCATACCCACTTTATGGTGACGCTGTCACCGCTCCCCATGATTTCATTTATTTTTCTGGTTAATATGAAGCTTTTTTGAATCTCTAACAGCCTCTACTCAAGATGATAAGTAGTTAATGTAAAGCCACCGATGTGAATTTCCTTTCTCAGAAAATTTCAGTCGAGGTGATTATAATTAATGAACTGGTACTTGCAGATCGCGACGCACACTTCTTAGCTAGTGAGCGTCTCTCATAACATGGATGAGTCATCGTCTTCTACCCCTCCTTCCAGGGCATCGACTGCGCCATCATCTCTTCCCTCTCCAGAGATCCAAACCTTGAGTCTAGGAAATGTGACTGACGAGGATCGGGCGGAGGCTGCTAAGATCAAGACAAAGGCAAATCAGGCATTCGCAAGTGCGTGTTGAACATTGGCATTGCATCCACGATGATGTTTAAGTTGAGGCGATCTGCTCAACAGGTCATAACTTCGTGGAGGCAGTTAGCCTCTACACTCAAGCCATAGAGCTGAACCCGTTAGATGCGACGTATTGGTGCAATCGTGCTGCAGCTCGGACAAAGCTAGAAGAATATGGGTTCGCGCTTTCAGATGCTTGTAAGTTGCTGGATATGTCAGTCAAGGTGTTTTAGTATCTCACGCGACTATAGCAAAGGCTATCGAAGTCGATCCTAAATATGCCAAGGCCTTTTATCGGTATGTGACAGGTTGTGGGTACAAATGTCCGAAGCTAAGTGCTCGTATCAGTCGTGCGACATGCTATCTACAGATTGCAAAACCTCAACTAGCAGTGGCGGATTTCAAGAAAGTCGTCGCGCTAGAGCCTAGAAACACTATCGTCCAGTCACAGCTCACAGCTACCCAAAAGCTCGTGCGCAGGATAGAATTTGAGAAAGTATGTTTTACGCTTTAGGTTAATGTTGCAGCTGATCTTCTGAGTAGGCGATTGAAGTAGAAGGGGAGAAAAATCCAGTAGAAAGATGTCACGAGATCATCGCGGAAGGTCAGTTATTCGAATTTTCATAGATTCTGCGTTTTCATCATTTTCAGGCGGCTGTGAGGTCGAAAAAACCTACGCTGGTCCACAGTTGAGTACTGGGAATGATGGGAAATATGTGATGACGGAAGAGTTTATCAAAGCAATGATCGAGTGGTTCAAGGCAGGCAAAAATCTTTCAAGGCGGTACGCGTGGGAGATTATTCTTGGAGCATGCTCGTATTTTGTAAAAGAGGAAAGTCTGGTAAACTTGGACCTACAAGAAGGCGTGACATGCGACGTCATTGGAGATGTTCACGGTCAGTCTAAGCGCTGCAGCGCTTGATATAGAGTCGTGTCACTTACCCTGTTTATTCTAGGACAATTCTACGATTTATTGAATCTATACTCATTGACGGGTACTCCCACCGAGAAGCATTGTCTTCTTATGAACGGCGATCTTGTCGATCGGGGATCGTGGTCCATTGAGGTTATTCTCACCGCCTTCGCGTACAAATGTGAGTACATGAACTATACGAAGGGCCTTAGCACTGATATCACGCAAGGGTTATACCCCACACGCATGTTCATTAATAGAGGTAATCACGAAGCAAAAGATATGAACCGAACATATGGCTTTGAAGGCGAAGCAAAGCACAAACACGGAGAGCAAACATATAAAGTCTATTCCCTCCGTTCTCTTTCTATTTAAAGCGCTTATAGCTTCTTCAACAGTTGTTCGCTCACGTTTTCACCACTTGTAAGTATCTAAGGATCTGCGAAGTTCAGCTGATTGATCGCCGGCTCTTCAGTACCATTAGCAACACTTGTGAGCGCCACGAAAGCACCCACCAAAACGAGCACTACAACGATACTGTCACCACAAGGGCTTAAGAGATACTTTGTTGTGCATGGCGGGCTATTCAGCAAAGACGGTGTCACCCTAGATGACGTTCGCAAAATTCCTCGAATCGGACGGCAGCCAGGTCAAGACGGTTTGATGTGTGCGTACCCTCCCGCTCTTACAACTAGTTATAACTGACACGCTTCCAGCCGATGTGTGTATTTATGCTGTACTCATGCGTTCAGATGCTTATTTTTATTTCAGCTACTCTGGACTGATCCTCAAACACAGCCTGGCCGTGGCCCGAGCAAACGCGTATGTGTTAATTATTTGCCCAATCACTGTGAGGCTCACAACCCCCCTTCCAGGGTGTCGGTATTGCTTTCGGTCCTGACGTCACGGAGAGGTGGTGTTCATTGAATGGCATTACTTCTATCATTCGGAGCCATGAAGTTCGCCAGGGTAAGTGTTTTTCGTCGCTTTACTAAGGAACTTGACTCCAATTTGGACCTGCAGATGGGTATGCTGTAGAACATGATGGCCTCTGTACAACCGTTTTTTCAGCCCCAAATTATGTGGATCAAGTGGGAAACAAGGGAGCGTTTGTATGTCTATATACTGTTCATCCAAAGCTTCAAATACTCACACCTTGCTAGATACGAATAGATGCAGAAGGAGAGCAAAAGTACTTCCAATTCGAAGCGACACCTCATCCGCCAATGAAGCCGATGGCATATGCGCAAGGAGGTCTGGCGAGCTTGATGATGTAGATTCTCATGACAAATCTTAGGTAGAGTCACGATATAATGAGTGTGGGGGCGTGGGAATCTTGCTACTTGTAGTCACCAGTCGCCTGTTGGACGCTTAACACAAGCTTAACATATTCAACTCTCTTCCACTTGACTTTGAGATTTCTGAAGTGCTATGGACAAGACGAAATCAAGACTGGCCGCGTTCTTCGATGATGACGAAGATTCTTCGTTCCCAGTGCGACGAATAGACATTATTTATGTCCTTGAAACACTTACCAATCGCTTCGTACATTAGCAAAAGACCCTGGATGACACGAAGTTGTCACAGTACGCGCAAGGCACTGTTCGCAAGTCCCGCAGAGAAAAGGAGAAGGAAGCTGCAGAGGCAAAGAAACGAGAGGAGGAAGAGAGTGCTGCCAAGGCATATGCTGATTTCATTGACGCGTTTGAGGGGGAAAGTGTGGACAAGCGGAAGGCTGGCTCAGGATTTGTTCGTGCATCGGACGGCGCGAAAGTGTCCTATCAACCGCCAGTCAAAGGTCCTACGGAATCTTCGTCGCGCACCAGGCCAGTTCGATCTCATGAAGATGAGGTATGTGAACCGCTTCATGCGAGCAACGTCTACTTGTGCTTATATTCTTGACCAGTCCACCGCATCAGGTAATGCATCAAAGCCGAAAGGCAAACGAGCCATGGATTCATTTCTCGAAGAGATCAAGAGGTAGCTAAGTTCTTACTGCCGTGTGCTTTACTTCATCATCTCTTCAGGGAGCAGGCAATGCGAGAGGCCAGGTATTCCCGTTCTTCCCATGGGCGGTCAGTGACTGCATTAGCAGGTGGGTTTTCATTTGCTTTCATCGCCATCAAACTCAAATGTATTGCATTGCAGCATACGAAGGGCAGAGTGGTAGCAAGGACCGCGGTGATCCTGAGGTGAGGGTGAACACCTTTTGATTTCTTCGTTTTCCGATGGTTTCTTTCGCAGACTTCCAACCTTTTTGTGGCCAATTTACCCTCAAATGTCACCGAGCAATCTCTTGGGACCTTTTTTGCCCGTCACGGTCCTGTTGGCTCCGTAAAAATCATGTGGCCACGAGGAGATGTTGTTGCCGGTCCGGGTGGTGACATGACTGCTTCGCGCCGCAACAGAAATTCCGGATTGAGTGGGTTCGTATCCTTTATGAAGCGTAAAGATGCAGAAGCTGCTCTGAGGGAAGTCGACGGCCTTGATTGGGGGGGTTCGATTCTTCGTGTGGGATGGAGCAAAGCTGTGCCTATGGCTGCGAAAGCTCTCTACGGTAGAGGTCACAGCAATTGCCTTAAGCGTTTTTTTCACGCACCTTACAGTACCGAGCAGGACATCCAGGTCAAGATCGAGATCGCGAGGACACGAGCGTAGGGGCAGGAGCAAGTCACATTCGCCAAGGCGCCACTCCCGGTCTCGCTCCACGGGACGCTATCGGTCCTCAAGACGTTCCCGCAGTCGTTCCATGAACGATAGTCGCTCACCTCGGCGGCGACGGCGCTCGTACAGTCGTTCGCGCTATGACAGCCGCAGTCCATACAGACGGTCACCCAGTCCTTCGAGGAGGCACGATTCGGAAGATGAGGCTGCTGCCGTCACCGATACGTTCATTCGTGCTGTGGCTGCCGAGGTCAAAGGCCATGGGTCTGAGTACGAAGAAAATCTCCGTGAATGGGAAAGGAACAATCCCAGGTACTCTTTCATGACACAGCGCAAGGTATGTCAAGCTATCTCCTTAGCGAGGACGTTGACAGACTGCGAAAAGCACCGACGGCACGCATTCTACAAAGGTCTAGTCGAGCGAGACGATTTTACGGGCGCAGAATTTGACGACGAGGTGTGCTCATTGCTTTTGCGTAGTGAACCATGCTAAACACGTGTCAGGGATACAACTCAACCTACTCTACCGATTCTGCGGAAGAGTCGGAGCAAGAGCGAACACGCAAAACTGTTCTAGGCAAGCTAGCTCGCAAACGGTTCGAGGCAATGCTTCGTGGTGTCTCTGGCAAGAGAGGCGAGCTCGCTCGCTGTATGACATTCAGCTTGGAACACGCTGAAGCTGCTCGTGAGGTATAGTTACAATTTCCATCCAAAGAAGTGCTCTGTTCTAACCACGTTAGGTATCCGATATCATCATCTCTTCACTCTTGGTGGATGGCACACCTGTGCCACGCAAGATTGCTCGGTTGCATCTCATCTGCGACATCTTACACAACTCAGCAGCCCCAGTACCAAGCGCATGGAAGTTTCGCCAGGAATTCCAGTCTCGCTTGGGCATAGTGTTCGATCAT